CAAAATATAATGTTTTAAGATGATTGATTTTAAATTTTAGGAATTTTGGACTTGATTTGGTTGCCCTAATAAATTTTGGTTTACAATTTTTGAAGAATTATGTAAATTCTATAATAATGCTACTATGGAAATTATTTCTCTTTCTAGGGTTATTAGTTTGTCATGAAATTTTAAGACAAGAAAATAAATGTCATAAGGATAATTGAGTTAAGCTTTCAGACAATTTAAGGTTGATTTTGTTAATGAAATATCGATAACAACATTTGCTAAAAACTTTGTTCTAAGAGGCAACAAACACTTAAAGAGTTTAAAGTATATGAACAAACTATAATTTGATCAAGGGATTAGGGTTTTCTAATGTTGCTGGTATTCTTAATTATTAAAACTCTCTTAAACATATTCACTACAGTTTTAACGAAAACTAACTAAATAATCAAGATTGAAAATTTTAAAAGACTTGTTAATCAAGATTTCAAGATTTACTTATCATGGAATGTGATTGATAAATAAAGTTATCTACCTAATTTACTTATCATAAGTTATTGAGTAAACTCAAGGTATAAACTAAATCGAGTACTAGCCCACTAGAAAAATTATAATTTTCTAAATTAGTAAAGGGTTATTAATTTGAAAAAAAAATAGTTAGAAAACCCAATTATTATATTTAAACCTTATCTAAATTGGTTTTAAACAATATAACTAATATTTGTTCATAATTTAGATGTATAGGTTACTAGTAAATGAACAATAACTTATCACTTTATAGCATATTATTGATTTAATAAGCTCATTAGAGAAAACTTTAATGATTGGTTTTGCAATCTTAACGTTGTCCTAAAGTAAGAAAAAATGCTTTATATTCCTGATGAACTGAATCCTAAAGAACTAGATGTTAATGCCAATGAAGCTATGAGGTGGGATTATGGAACCCATAGAGATCATATGATTCAAGCCTCATTTATCATGGTCGAAAGCATAATCCCTGAATAGCAAAGGCAACAAGGGTGGATTAAAAGGTTTAAGACCTTTAAGGAATTATTTCAAAACACAATGTCAAAAGGCTTTTTGGTTAAAGTCTGTTGCCTCAAAATGATCAATTGGATTATGAAACTTGTATAATTAGGATTTTTCATTAATCATGAGTTAAGTGTAGACTTAATATTATCATCTCTTCTTAATAACTTTTCACAATTTAAAATGAACTTAAATATGTATCAAATGAAGTAACACTACCTTAATTGATAAATATAATAGACACAATTGAAAAATCCTTGAAGAAATAAAAAAGCTTAATGCCCTTTTAATTTTTTCATCTAAGGTTAAGAAAAATGCGTAAGAAAATGAAAGAAAAAGAAGCTAGTAAAGAAAAGGAGAAACATCTGAGGCTATTAAGCCTAGTGATGGCATCAATAAGGACAAAGCAAAAAGCCGTTGTCACTTTTATGGAAAAGAAGGTCATTTGAAGTAGAATTGTAAAATCTACTTGACAAGCTTAAAGAATAAGAAATCTAATGAGACTTTTGCCTTATGTATGCTTATGATTGAAATCAATTTGTCTACTTTTATCGTATCATATTGAGTATTGGATACCAAATGTGCTTTTTTCTTATGTAATGATATATAAAGACTTAAAAGGTGTGAGTCCTTAAAAAAATGAAGGGTCTCTTTGTGAGTTGGAAATAAAGTAAGTGTTGTTGCATATGACTTAGGATTTATAGTTTGCTTTTACCTTTTAGTTTAATTTTAGAACTCAAATATTGTTATTATGTTCTAGTCATTCTAAAAACATAATTATAGTTTCTTATTTAAATATTAATAGTAGCTTTTCATTTAATATTAAAGGTAATTATTATTCCTTTTTATTTAAATGATATTTTTTATAGCATGAGAATATATGATAAAGTTTTGCATGTTCTAAAATTAAATAATGACGTTTTTAACATAAATGTCAAAAAAAAATCTAAGTTAGATAAACCAAATCAAATTTTCTTATGGTATTATAGACCCAATCATATCACTGAAACAAAAATCACCAAGTTACATAAAACAATGATAACTTGATCCTTTTAATTATGAATCAGATAAAACTTGTGCATCAAGTTTGCTTAGAAAGATGACTAAATCACTTTGTACTAGAAAAAGAAAAAGAACTAGTGTGCTTTTTAGATTTATACATTTAGATGTATGTGGTCCAATGAATATAAATGTTAGAGGACTTTCATATTTCGTTAAATTCATTGATAACCATTCAAGGTATGATTATCTATATTTAATAAGACATAAGCCTAATTTTTTGAAAAGTTCAAAGAATTTACAAGTAAAGTTGAGAAACAATAATACACCTGAAACCCCCACTTATCTTCTAGAGTGAATTCCATTTAAATTCGTTGACAAGACACTTTATAAAGTATGGTTAGGTAAAGATCAAACTTGTCACGCCTAAGGATTTTAGGCTGCAATGGTTTTGTGAAGCATGCAAAATCTAACAAGCCAAAGGCTTGTTTGGTTAAATATAAATTTATGGGATATCCAAAAAAAATAATGAGATATTACTTCTACAACTCTTAGAAACAAAAGGTCACTAAACAACAACTTTATCAAAAGTTCCTTAATTGAAAATTATGTCGATGAGAATTATTTTTACAATAGATATTTCATCAAATGTTACTTCATCAAAGAATAAGAAGTAGAAATAACCCCAAAATATTGTTTTGGAGAGTTTACTATGGTGCATCATATATGGAGATAGTTAAGAGGTCTTTTCTTAACTTTTCTCTAAAGTATGAATGTTTTCTTTTTCCTTTAAAACAGATGATGAATTCTCATATTTACCATCACCAAAAGCTAATGTCTTATTAGACGAAGTATTAATACCTTTTTGTAACTATCAATTTTACCATTATTTCTATTCAATGCTCAAGATATGTTACTCCTATTCTTAGAACTTATATATAAGAATTCTCACAACTCATTCGGGAACTTTTTGGATATTTTGGCGAATTAACTCAACTCTCTCAAATTTTCTCTATGATTCCCACATTTCAAATCCCTTTCTAAGCTTTATTATCATCTCTACTCAGTCATTCTCCATTGTCTGCCACCATTTGCAGTTACACTCAATACTTCAGGATCTGCTTTAGCCTTTCTTGTTTTGTCTTTCTGCGCATCCCATTTTACTTATTTGCAATGCTTCCTCTCCTCACCAAAGAACTTTTTTATAGGGTTCATGACAATATGTTTTTCGTAAATGAATGTCTTAAATTTGGTTAATTCATTGTTTCCCTTCATACCAGTTTAAATGAATGAATGAAAGTTTCTACTTTTTGAAAAAAAACTTTTATACTTATAAAAAAACCTCATTCGTTTTTAAATTTAATTTTTTATTCAACTATTTCCTATCATGAACTTCATGCACTTTATTTTAAGAAAAAAATGCTCAAATTTTGGCCTTTCTCCTATTTTAGACTTTCCCTTCATTTTTAAAACTTCATTCAAGATTAAGCCTTTAATTTGGCAATGTTTATGTAGGAGGTAACTACTAGAGAAGGCAAAAAAACCCGAAACCAATGGGTTATGACCTGACCCGATTTTTTATGGTCGGTTTTTTTTTTTTGAAAATCGGGTATCGGGTTGGGTCGGGTGGTATGAAAAAAAATCGGGATCGGATTTTAGGCAAACCTAACCCTACCCGACCCGGTATATATATAAAAATAATTTTTTAAATTATTTATTTAATTTTATAATTATTTATATATTTTTTAATATATATTTAATTTTATATTTATATTAAAAATAATATTTTATTAATTTCAAGTCGGATCGGGTCGGATATGATTTTATACAATGTTGGATCGGGTCGAATTCATGTATAAAAATAATAAAAAAAAATTTATCGGGTTGGGTTTGGAGCGAGCAAAAACTCGTCCCGACCGGTTACCATCTAACTACCCAATGAGTTAGATTAAATTTCGAGTTATTGTAAACCATAGATTAGGGTGTTAAATAAGAAATTAAAGAAAAAGTATAACTCACACTAAATAACTTAAAAACAGAGAGAAAAAGAATAAAGCGAAATAAGACCAAGTTGTTTGCTTGAATTTTGTTTAGTTAAACTGTGACCAAAAGCTGTGACTCTTTCCAATGCTTCGTTAAGAAATTGATTAGACAAAAGAATGGATTTTGGGTTCCTAGGTCCTAGCCACTATGTAGAACGACTTTTTGGAAAGGAAATTTCATTCTTTTCCCATTAAAATCATGAAATGCCATTAAGATATCTTTACAACAAAACAATTAACAATGTTTTGTTTCCAAATTAATGTGACAATCCGGCCCAAACAATCCTGCCTTGCACCATTCATTTTACGGACCTTTATGGCTTTAATTGGCAGCATAGGAGTGGAGACGGGAAACTATAGCATTTGTCCGAATAAAGTTAAGTGATCGGTGGGCGCAACGTGTTTACTGCCCATTCGTGTACATTCCCAAGCAAACGACGAAATCGGGCGGGGTTAATTACAGAGAGTCTCAAATAAAATAGTAGTTGTGGTTTGTTAATTGTGTATATATCACGATTCTAATAGAATTGGTGATGTATTGTGTCTTGACTCTCGTACTATACCAGTATAACCAAGAATATTTATATATTTAGATGGTTTGTATCAATGTAAGTTTTATATATTTTTTTTATTCTTAGAATAAAATGATTAAATGCAAGTGCTTGATATAAATGTATTTTCATTCATATATATATATATATATATATATATAAGAATTCATTTATATTAACTTGACTCTTACATTTTTAATCCTTAATTGATATTAAATTCATAATTTTTTTTGAATCAAAATAATATTTTTAAACTTAATAATTTTGATCCAAAACTTTTAAAAATCCAATGTAAAAGGATTCTTACTTTCTTATATATATATATATATATATATATATATATATATATATATATGGTGAAGTGTGCTTGTTAGATGAGAAATTAAGCCGGACGATGGGCGCCACTTCAATTTCCCCCACCTTCCTCTATGCTTATCTTCTTCTTTTTCTTCTTTTTCTATGCCATGTATGCTCTTTGAAGGAGGGCTATGCCTTTGGACGAAGAGAAACTGCAGAGAGCCACCGACTTCAGCACAGTCATACCATCCAAGTCAGCTCTCTTCTACCCTCCTCTTTTTGCAACCCTTCTGCCAAAGGTTAGTAATTACTACTCTCCCTCTTTCTCTCTCTCTCTCTCTCGCACACATAAATCAGCCAGGCATGAGACCTAATTGGCTTGCTGCTTAAACTTTTCCAACTTTAACTTTGTTTCGAGTACTATTAATTAGAAAGTACTAGAGTACTGTAAAGTGCTTATACTGTATTATTGCGGTTATTATATTGATATATATATATATATATATATATATATATATTATGTGTGTGCCTGCGTGCTGGCTGGCTTGCATTCATGTACGTAGCCATTGTTTATTAAGCTCATGAGTTATGATTATACTCATCTCCTGCTTTACCAGTTGGAGAAACATAACAGCTAGCCTTTCTTTTTCTTCTCCCAATTTCCTTTCATAGGCAACTGTTTAAGGGTATTTTAGTAATATGGATAAGTCGATCTTCAAATTTTAATAGTGATTAATTATGAAAATTAGGTTGAATCCGTTGAGAATTAGTAAATGATTAAGATCAGGTCAGTCCAAAAAATCATTCGTGTGTTGTATAAAATATTTATAATTTATATATGTATATTATATTTTATACGAAAATTATATATGATAATTTATATTGATATTAAAATATAAAATATTTTTTTTATATCATATTTTTATATTGTATTTTAAATAATTAAATATATTTAAAAATTCATCACTTTTTTTAACTAAAATTATTCAATTAAATTAATAGCTGGTGTTTATACATTAATTTAGGATCATACTTTTTTTCTACATACAACTATGTAATATATTGTAAGTTGATTTTTTCTTGTGTGTGTATATATAAATATATATATATATATTTATATATATTTGGTATGCTTTTGAAATTTGTTTAAAAAAAAGAAAGTTATCCGCAAAACTTTTTCTTTTCCGACATCCATAAAATATCCAACCCCACTATTTCTTTTGGATTTGGATCCTAGCTCCCAAAGGGTAGTGGTCGTTATGTTTTTAGATCTATTTTACCATAGTTTGGTCATGAAGCCCTATCAAAAAAAAAAAAAAAAAAAGGCTTGGTCTTGAAGCAAGGAAAGATTTAAATGAAGTTTTTTAGATAATGTTTGTGAATTTTTTTATTAAAAATGATTAAATAAAAACTAAAATTAAAATCAAAATTCATAAATTGAAAGATTTCAATACATAAATTATGTAAATTTTGAAAAAAAATTAATAAATTTTGATATATATATTTTTTGATAATAATTTTAATAAAAATATTAACAAAATATTTACCGTTAAATAAGTATCGATTAAATTTATATTATAAATAATATTTTTTATAATTCTTTTATATATTATTAATCTTTATATTAAACTCTATCAATTTATCGATTTTAATTTTTTATTAAAATTTTTAGCAAATCATTTTTAAAAAGAAATTTCATAAACTTTATCTAAAAAACTTCATGTAAATTTTATCCATTAAAACATTACTCAAACAAACAAAATCAAGAGGAGTTTGGTCCTTGATAGTATATTTTACTTTTCCACACTTAGCTCATGCGCAGGGCAATGGCTAAGGTTGGTGATATAATGATTGAAAGAGAGACTCCTTAGGGGATTTAATTTGCCTCCACTGATGTCCATGATTTCAAACATAAATAAATAAATGAGAGTATTTTATTTATAATTTTTTTATTACAATACTATAATTACTTAATTACAATAAGAATTATGTGAAGATTCATTACTTATAAAAGTATATTATACATTAAAGTTTAATAAACCTTACATAATTTTAAAATTTGATTAATAATATACTTAGTAATGTCATTTTTGTCATAAACAATTTTACCGTACTGAAGAAATTAATATCTTTGGGCCAAAACAACAAAGAGAAATTAATCTCTTGAGTTTCAGCAATTAAATATGCAAAATTAATATTTTCAACCTCGAATAGTACTTACGATTAATTTTTTTCCAGCATTTCTCCTCCACCTTACCAAGTTGTTTGATGGTAGCCAGGAATTTGAGGCATATAAATTGTTTTTTTTTTTTTTTTCATTAATCCGAAGAAACATAAGAGAGCATCTTCCCCAAAGGAAACCGTGAGACATAAAAAAATCCTAGATATTCGTCTTTACACGATAGCCTTAAAATTTTGTGGTCGGGATTTCTTGAAATTTTTTTCTTGATAAGTTTGGTTTTTGCCACAAAAAGGATGAATTTTGTAACTCCTTGGGAAAAAAAAATAAAAACCGTAAGCAAATTATATACTGAATACTAGTTAGACATTTAGTACAAATTAAGAATCTTGCAATTAAAAAAATTGCTTCTCAGAAACAGCAATTATAGCACCTAATGAACAGTACTTTGTTATAGATCAACCACAAGATGGCGAATCTCTCAATTATATACTATATTTTTAATATGTTTTTCCTGATTTTCTTGATTGGAAGGCGATAAAATAACATGCTCTAATTTTACTGTTAAAACACTTCTTTCAATCTTTAGCTATAATGCATTGTTGGGAAGTCACTTTCATCCCTATATATTATTTGAGCATCGTCCACTTGGGACTTGGGTTCTAGATACCTAAAACCAACAATTTATAATAAATAATCAATGAATCAACAAGGCAAGGCGATGTGAAACAAATTTTCCATCATTAAAATTAAATAAGCGTATTAACAACGAATACATCCCCTCAAGGAATAGACTTTCTGGTCCACTTCTTGGCTTGGGTGTTCGCCACTCAACAATTACCTTTCTCTATATGCTTTGGAAAAAGACGCTCTTAATCTATCAAATTTCCGATTCTGTTCTCACAATCGAAGTCGTAAATCATTTTACTTCCTATTTTAATAGCAGTAGTATATTTTCTAACTCTTTATCGTACTGGAATGTGCATTTATGGCTTTCAATTTCAGCTTTGGACAAAAAGTCATCTTCAGCGGTTGTCCACAAGTATGGCCCATGCTTTCAGCTCCATCGGGATAAAGCAAATATTCCCATTCACGCCGAGATCCTCCTCCACGACGAAGCCCGAGTCAAGTCAATTCACTCAAAACTTGCCAAGAATCCAGTCTCCAGCAATGTCGACGAGACTGATGCAACCAGTCTCCCTGCCAAGGATGGTATCGTGGTGGGATCAGGTAATTACATAGTTACCGTTGGCCTTGGCAACCCAAAGAAAGATTTATCTCTCATATTTGATACTGGGAGTGACATCACATGGCACAATGCCAGCCCTGCGCAAGATCTTGCTACAAACAGCAGGATCCAATTTTTTCGCCCTCTCTATCCTCAACATATTCCAAAATTTCATGCACCTCAATAGTGTGCAGTTCACTGACTTCTGCAACAGGTAACTTTCCGTGACAAACTTGGGAAGATAAATTTTCGTGTAAGACTAACAATCAATCGAAAGTGTTATGAGTAAGAAATTAAGCTGGCAAAATTTGTTAATTAATTACTTTTGTTACTGGCGTGGATTCAAAATTTTTGGATTCATTATTAGTGACTTATCCAAGCAACAGTGCAACTACTGGTTTAAAAAAAATGTTAATTCTTTCTTGTAATTATATGCCTTCAGGTAACTCACCTGGCTGCTCATCATCTGCTTGTGTCTATGGCATCCAATATGGAGACTCGTCTTTCTCAGTTGGATTCTTTGCTAAAGAATCGCTCACCTTGACATCAACTGATGTGTTCCATAACTTTCTATTTGGTTGTGGCCAAAACAATCAAGGTCTTTTTGGAGGCTCAGCAGGTTTGCTAGGACTTGGCCGGAATAAATTATCTTTGCCTTCACAAGCCGCCTTAAAATACAAGAAATTCTTCTCCTACTGCTTGCCATCATCCGCCAGCTCAACTGGTTTCCTCACTTTTGGCTACGGTGGCCTCTCAAAATCCGTAAAATTCACAACATTGTCCACAATATTCCAAGGTTCATCCTTCTACGGTATTGACATTACTGGAATAAGCCTTGCTGGCCAAAAACTATCAATCTCAGCATCTGTTTTCACCACTGCTGGCGCGATCATTGGCTCTGGAACTGTCATCACGCGGTTGCCACCAACTGCTTATGTGGCACTGAGGTCTGCATTTCGAAAACGGATGAGGCGATATCCAATGGCACAACCACTTTCAATCCTGGACACATGTTATGACTTTAGCAAATATTCTTCAGTTATCGTTCCCAAGATAAGCTTCTTCTTCAGCAGGGGTGTTGAGGTTCCGATCGATGCAAAGGTAGTTTTGTACGTTAATAGTATCTCGCAAGTGTGCCTAGCGTTTGCCGGAAACAGTGATGACACAGATGTAGCGATCTTTGGGAATACACAGCAGAAGACATTGCAAGTGGTATACGATGGTGCTGAAGGGAGGATTGGGTTTGCTACAAGGGGCTGCACTTAAGCTAATTTAGACAATCTTCAATTTAGCTGTCAAATCACAATTCTTATGATAGCAAGAATGGTTTAAGATTGAAATAATTGATATACTAGTGAAACTTATCAGTACTCCGTAAGTGGAGTACATATTAGTTCAAGAACTTTTCTGCTACTTGTACCCCATAATTCATCAGGAAATTAAAAAGAAAAAAAAAAAAAACAACACACAATGTTTTCTGCAACTTATCTGCAATAATAAGCTAAACATGGTTTTGTAAGGAAATGTTAAACCTTGAAATCATAAAATTCGTATCTCTCTTTTGTAGGAAAAAAATTCTGAGCAAGTTCAAGGGATAAATGCTTTAATTTTTTCAGGACATGGAGATAAATTCAACTTTCATTTATTATTGGAGATGAAAGTTGATTATTGTAACTCTTACCATTAATTGTAAATTGTTAGTAAGAGTTAGGTGACGGCTGATTGATAGAAGTTGTAATTAATAAAAGACTTAAACTTCATTTATAAAAGGGATCTTGCCTTGTGTTATTGAGAAATGTGTTAAGTGAGGAAATGAGAAATAAGAGAAAAAAAAAAAAAACAGAGAGATTTAGAGAGAGAATGCAAAATAAATAAATAAATAAAGGTTCTTCTCCTTTGTAATTTTTCATCTTCGTTATAGTAAAATTTTTGCAGTGATTTTAAGAGTAGACATAATTCTCGTATTGAGAGTGAACCACTATAAATCCTTTGTGTTTTTTTGTGTGATATTTTTATTCTTTGCATATACTATTGCTTTGGTATGCGGGTAGACTTTTAACCCCAATAATTGGTATCAAAGCTATAAGACTAAAGTTTTATCATAGGTAGCACTGTTCAAGTTTTTGGTACTATTCACATATACAATCTTATTCACGTATATGGTACCGTTCATGTATACACAAATTTAGTGGTGTTGATAAATATGGTTCTAAGAATTCTGTCTAAGGAGATTAAGTTTTAAGCAAGACCATTTATGACCCTTCCAATCTTTCCTAAAAACATAATGGGAGCATTATTCACACAATATTATATTTCATATACTTTACAATTCATAGTTTCATAATTTGAAAAAAATGGCCAACAAATGTGTAGCATATGGAATCAGCAAATTTGTTGGAACAAACTATTCTTTCCAAAAAATGCAAATGAAAGATTATTTAGTCAGTAGAAAGCTGCATTTACCACTTCTGGGTAGGAAACCAAAAAAAATGTTAGATGAAAATTGAAACTCCTTGACAAATAGGTGTTAAAGGTTATTAGGCTAACACTGCCAAAGAACGTAGCTCACAATGAAGCCAACGAGACATCAATCGTAGATTTGATGGAAGTGTTTTCTTATATATATAAAAAACCCATTGCAAACAATAAGGTTTTTCTCTTGAAGAAACTGCTCCATTTGAAGATGGTTGAAGGTGCTTTAGTGGCATTGCATCTCAATGAGTTCAATATTTGTCAATCAATCGATTTCTATTTAAGTTGATTTTGCTAATGAGATTCATGCCTTAATTATTTTGGCATCCCTACCAAATAGCCAGGAGCCTATGAGAGTAGCGGTTAGTAATTCTATTGGTACTATAAAATTAAAATTCAATTATATTAGAGATCAAATTCTCATTAAAGAAATTTGCAAAAATGACTTTAATGAACCGACAACATTGGATTTTGTCTTAAATCTCAAGAATAAAGGCAAAACAAATAACAAAAATTCTAACCAAAATAAAGGAAGATTAAAGTCTAAAAAAAAAAGAAGTAATTCCAAAGTTAGGCAAAATGTGGAGTGTTGGAACTATGAAAAAATCAGTCACACAAAGAAACAATGTTGCGCCTAAAAAGAATATGGAAAAAAAAAAACAAAAGAGATGATGTAAATGTTGTCACTAAAGAGATGAATGATGCATTGATCTGGTCTGTTGATAGCCTAGTTAACTCTTGGGTTTTAGACTCTAGAGCATCTTTCCATACCAATGCTTATTGTGACATGATGGAAAATTATGTTGCTAGAAATTATAGAAAGATTTATCTAGCTAATGGAGAACCTTTGAATATTGTTGGTATGGGTGACATTTGTTTAAAGATGCTAAATAGGTCTATATGGAAAATTCAAAAGTGATGCATGTACCGAGTTGATGCATAATATGATCTTAGAAAGGCAACTTGATAATGAAGGACATAATATAACATTCACAAGCAGTACATGGAAAATCACAAAAGGCACTATGGTTATTGCTCGAGGAAACAAAACAAGGACTCTTTATATAACCTTAAATTGTAAAGATACAGTACCGACAATTAACGCTGATCTAAACTCCAACTTATGACATTGCAGGCTCTGGCATATGAGTGAGAAGGGAATAAAGATACTCGTGTTAAAAGGAAAACTTGCAAGATAAAAATTTATTGAACATCAACTATGTGAAAGTTGCACTTTTGAAAAAAAGAAAAGAGTTAGCTTATCAAAAGCTTGAAAAAAGTTGAAATAGAAAAATTTAAAGTTGGTTCATTATGATATATATGGGCCTTTGTTGGTATTTGCCCTGCAAGCCAAATCATATTTTGGCTAAGACATTGTCATATTTGTAGTACTTTGATATTTGATATCTTATAAAGATTTTGTTTTCTTTATCATTGAGCCATGTATTGTTTATACCTATATGATAAAATCCTCAAAATATAAATAAAGTTTTTCAAAAAAATTACAATGATATTATAATTATGAGATCATCTTTGCATGAAAGCTATATGTTCTAAAATAGTTCCTATTCAACACTCTATCAATAAGAATACATTGACAAAAACTATTAAGTCTAGCATATGATTATGCTCTTACTTAGAAAGCAAGTAACTGATCTCATAGGTTGAAGTTGGGGGAAATTTAAGCTAACATATGAGTGCTTGTTATAAGAATAAGTTCACTAAACATGAGTCGAGAGGAAAGTGCTATATGGTAGTTCATATAGTGTCTATAGCTACATTTTCATATGATGAATGTTAAACTTTGATTTTACTTATGGTTCTAACAAAACATACTCTAGCTAAGTTTTGTTAGGTATAACATGAGCATATGAAAATGCATGAAATAATCAAAATAGGATCTATCACCTTGTGTGATCAAGAGAGTATCTCAACTAGTCTTAATTGAATTAACTTGAGAAATCTTGGATCAAATAGAAATAAGAGTTTACAATCTTTCTAAAACTTATTTTTGAGTTAATATTAAGGATATGATTTAATATAGTTCAACAATGAGTAGGTAGTAAACCATTCTCAATATTCAAACCAAGATACTAGGTGATGAAATTATATCAATTATACACTAAGAGCATTCACGGATTGGTTATCAAGTCGTATTGACTTTTCTTTAGTAATTAAGGGTCATAGCAATGAAGCTAGCATTGATCATGATCTATAAATATAAGATTGGCTATTAGAGAATTAGTGATGAAGTCAAAAGTTTGTCTCATCCTTAGCCGAATACTAAGGCTCATAATACTTGTGTTTATTGCCAACATGCTAAAGAACCTAATGGGTCATACACAATAAAATAATTGAGAAAAATTAAAATTGGGATATATTAAGTTAGACTTAGTTTATTTTTAGTACGATTAAAAGATAAAAAAAATAAAACAAGAGAGAAAGACTTTTCTTATTTAGTGCATTCAGATAAGTAAGATATTTATGAAAATATACATGCCTTACATTAAACCTAATCTTGTTAAATGTCCCTCTGTAAAAAGAATATCAAACTGTTACCCTTCTTGTAAGTAATACTCAAGAAAAATACAAGGCATACTTGATGCAAAAATAAGCTAAGAGAGTCTAAGCAAAAACTTGAGAGAAAACAAGAGGTTTTATAAATAATCATTAGCTAGAGTGTGGTTTTTATTCTACCATACCTTAGATAAGGTTATTTCACAAGCGTTCATGTGGATCAACATTAGAGGCTAAACACTTGGACAGCTTTTTGGCTTAAGAAATTATTTAGAAGGTCACCAACTTGAACCAAAAATATCTCGGCATTCAAGGTAACACCCTAGCTGAAACTCATGCATGCTTGTATAAATTATGTGTTCGTATGACCATATTGATTGATCTTGGCTTTAAAGAATTAAAACTTTTAAAATCATACTACTTTAACTTTGTACATTAATGCATAATTCCCTTCAAGTGGTATTAGAGTCTTGTAAATATAGATTATATAGCTTAGAAGTTTGTTTGGTTGTTCATGATATCAAAATTATTTTGGCTGCAATCTGTTATTGTGATGTAAAGCCTAAAAAATTAATTTTTTTTATTTTTTTATTGGATTCTTTTAAAATTTCAAAGCATGATGTTTTAGGATGATTGGGTATGAATTCTATGATTTTTGGACTTTTCTTTTCATGCTCTATGAATTTTTTTTGTTTGCAATCTATCCATAATAGAAAATTTCTACTATAGTGATATTGCAAAAATTATTCCTTACTTTAGGGATATTATTTGGCTGTGAAGTTTTAACACATGAAACTAGGCATATTGATGATCGTTATGGAAAAACTTGAGAATTTTTGGAGTTGATTTGGTCATTCAAAAGTTGATGACAAGTTTAGCCTATAAATTTGTCAGTGCTGGTTGGGTATGTGTAATATGCATATGAAGCATAATTACCCTAATATGATTGTGGTAATTGGTTTTCTTGATGTAGCTGGTATTTTTAAAAGTTAAGAAACTTTAAATACTTGCTTATGAAGATTTTAATGAAAATCCAATTGGTAATCAATATTGGGAGTCTTAGGAAACTTATTCACCAAGATTTTAAGATTTGCTTTCTTGATCATCACATTTAGTGAACTGTTTTTTTGAAAGTTGTGGTAATTGTTACTTATGATTGAAGAATCATGACCAAAGGAATAAGAAAGCATGGGAAAGAATTTAGAACTCTTGGTTGATGGATGGTAAGGGCAGCATAGCATTTTGTGGCCAAAACTACCAAGTTGCTATATATAATTCCCTAGCCGTAACTTGTTTCCTATTGTGAATGGGTTTTGACCAATCCTTAGTTTGGTACTAATTCTTGTTGAATTTGGATTCTTAAATTTTTTAGGTTTAAGAAATAAGATTTTATAAAAAAAATCCAAATTAAATTGGATTTTCTAA